TATTCTTAGAATGAATGCACTGCATACCCAAAATTATGGAACACTGTGACAGCTGTTCTAAGAGGAAAGTGCCTACAATAATGGAGGAATCTCCCACTAGCAAATTAACAGCACACCTGAAAGCTCTAGAACAAAAAGAAGCAAACTCACCCAAGAGGAGAGGACATCTGGAAATAACCAAATTTAGGGCTGAAATTAATATAGCAGAAAGAAATAAAAAGAATCAATGAGACAAACAATGGTTTCCTTGAGGAAATCAACAAGATAAACAAGCTTTATTAAAACTAACCAAAGGGCAGAGAGAGAAATTCCAAATTGAACAAATTCAGAAATAAAAAGGGGGACATAACAACAGACAATGCAAAAATTCAGAGAATACTCAGGTCATACTTCAGAAACCTGTACTCTACAAACTTAGGTAATTTAAAGAAAATGGACAACTTTCTGTTAGCTACCACATACTAAAACTAAATCAATGCCAGATAAACTGCATAGGACTATAACCCAAACAAAACAGAAGCAGTCATCAAAAGTCTCCCCCAAAAAAGCCCAGAAACACGCGGTTTCAGCACAAAATTCTACTAGAATTTCAAAGAAGAGCTAATACCAATACTCCTCAATTGTTCTATACAATACAAACTGAGTGAATATTGCCAACTCTTTTTATGAGACTGTAGTTACCCTGATGCCCAAATAAGCCAAACACAAGTAAGAATGAGAATTAAAGACCAGTCCCCCTCATTAACACTGATACACTCCAAGAATACATCATTAAAATCATCCAACATGATCAAGGAGGCTTCATCCCAGACATGCAGGGATGGTTAAACATACGAAAATCTGTCACTGTAACACACCATATAAAGAAACTGAAAGAAAAATAAACCTCATGGTCATCTCTTTAGAGGCTGAAAAAGCCTTAAACAAAATCCACCACCCCATCATCATAAAGGTCTTGGAGAGATGAGGGATACAAGAACATACTTAATCATAATAAGGGCAATATACAGCACTTCAATAACCAAAATCAAAATAATTGTTAAAACCTCAAAGAAATTCCTCTAAAACCAGTAATAACAAGGCTTTCCACTCTACCCTTATCTATTCAATATAGTGTTTGATGTTCTACCTAGAGCAATAAGGCAGGAGATCAAGCAGATGCAAATTGGAAAGAAATAAGTCAAAATTGCTATTTTCAGATGATATAGTATACATAAGTGACCTGAATATTCTACCAGGGAACTGATACAGCTGACAAACACCTTCAGGTATGTGGGAGGATATAAAAGATTATCTAAAAAAAAGAAAACAGTAGCAGTAGCCCTCTTATATACAGATAATAAATGGGCTGAGAAAAAATATAAACATCACACTTCACAGTAGCCACAAATACCATAAACTATCATGGGGTAACCCAACCAAACAAGTGAAAGACCTGTATGAAAAGAACTTTAAGTCTTTGAAGAAGGATATTGAAGATGATATCAGAAAATGGAAAGATCTCACGTGCTCTTGGATACATGGGATCAACATACTAAAAATGGCAATCCCACCAAAAGCAATCTACAGATTCAATGCAATCCCATCAAAACCCCAGCACAGTGCGTCACAGATCTTTAATGAACAATACTCAACTTCATGTGAAAAATAAAATCAAGATAGCCCACCATAGCCAAAACAACCCCTTACAATAAAGCAACTTCCAAAGGCATCACCATCCCTGACTTTAAGCTCTTCTAGAGCGAAAGTAAACAAAATGGCTTGGTACTGGCATAAACCCAGACAGGTGCACCAATGGAATTGAATCAAAGACCCTGATATTAATCCACACAACTATAAGCAACTTCTTTTTGACAAAGAAGCTAAAATTATACAAAGAAAAGAAAGCAGCTTCAACAAATGGTACTGCCATATCTGAACGTCAACATATAAAAGAATGCCAATAATTCTGTGTCTATCCCCATGCACAAAACTCAAGTCTAAATGTGTCGAAGACCATAGCATAAATCTAGGTACACTGGACCTGACAGAAGAGTGTGTGTGAAGAGGCTACCTTAAATGTCCTTCCTAGAGCCTTCATCCAGTAGCTATTGGAAGCAGAAGCAGAGATCCACAGCTAAGCACTGAGCCAAACTCTGGAATCCAGTTTCAGAGAAGGAGGAGTGACGAACAAAAGGGTCAAAACCATGCTTGAAAAAACCACAGAAACAACTGACCTGAGCAAGTGAGAACTCATGAACCCGAGTCTGACAACTGGGGAACCAACAAAGGATGAAACCAGGCCCCCTGAACGTGGGTGTCAGCTAGGAGCACTGGGAAGTCTATGGGACCTCTAGCAGTAGAACTAGGATATATCCTAGTACACAGACTTTGGGAGCCCATTTTCCCATGGAGGGATACTCTCTTAGCCTATATATATGGGAGAGGACCTAGGCCCTGTCCCAAATGACTTGACAGAGTTTGATGATCTGTAATGGAAGGTCTCACCCTCCCTTGGGAGTGAATGATGGATGGCATGGGAGGGCAGCTGAGGGGTAGTGGGAGGATAGAAGGGAGAGGGAACTAAGATTGGCACGTAAAACAAGATCATTTCTAATTTAAATAAAATTCATTTTAAAAAGCGGATGTAGAGAATATCCTTGAATGCATTGTCACAGAAAACTACTTCCTAAATATAACATCAGTAGCATAGATAGTCAGAGCAATGATTACTAAATGGGACTTCCTGAGACTGAGAATCTGTGTAAGGCAAAGGACACTGTATATAAGACAAAACAGCAGCCTGAATATTGGGAAAAGATATCCACTAGCTCCACATCTGGCAGAGGACTGATCCCAAAAATATACAAAGTCTCAAGAAACTAGACATCAATATACATATAATGCAATTTAAAAATAGAGAATTTCTAACAGAGGAAACTCAAATGGCTGACAGACACTTAAAGAATTGTTCAACATCTTTAGCCATCAGAGAAATGCAAATCAAAACAACTCTGAGAAACTATCTTACACCAGGCAGAATGGCTAAGAACAAAAGCACTGATGACAGATTATTCTGGAGAGTTTGGAGAGTGAGGAGAACACTCCTCCATTGAGAGTGAGAATTCAAACTTGTACAGCCACATTGGAAAATAAGTATGTCAGTTTCTCAAAAAGTGGGAATTAATCTACCACAAAACCCAGAAATACTGTAGCACTTAGGCATATGCACAAAGAATGCATACTCATATCAGAAGTACATTTGCTCAACTATGTTCATAGCAGCCTTATTTATAATAGCCAAAATCTGGAAACAACCTATATGCCCCTCAACCAAACAGTGGATAAAGAAAATGTGGTACACTTGCACAATAGAGTACTACTAAATGTGAAAAGGCAATGACAATATGAAATTTGCAAGCAAATGGATGGAACTAGAAAAGAAAAACATCCTGAGTGAGGCAACCCAGCATGCTCCTTGACAGCATGGTGTAGAGCAGTGTGTCTGAGATACCTGTCATGCATTTAATAGCCAGTATTGATTCATCAGATATGGCAGGTTGGGTGGGAATCGCCTGCCTCCCTAAATATGGCTTGTGCATCCCTTTGTAAGTATTATTCTTGGTCAAAGACGACAGCACTCCCAGGACAGAAGAGGACTAGTCTTTGGTCAAGGGTGTACATGTGGCAGCACACCCCTGTTAGAATCTCCAAACAAGCTCTCATGAGTACCTTTCATTGTGTGCTTTCATGCAGCCTCTTCACCTTCAAGGTGTCCCTTCTCTTTAGTTCCCATGTATTTACATGTTACTGGATTCTAATGGAGCATGGATTCATCAAACACATAACCCCATGTCTTACTTAGTAAAATGCAAAAGTATAAAATGCCAAATATTTCATAGAGAGTTAAATATGTTATTTTCAAAGACAGCTACAGCTCATTCACCATGAATCAAAGTGAAAGATTCTCTGTTTTAAAACATTTAACATCTCTTTTAGTGCCTAATTCTGAAACTGTTTTGAAGTGTCTTCTTGAACTGCAACTGTTCTGGATTTGAGGTTGCTATCTCCAGTTTCCTCAAAGGTATACATGTAGCATGTGCATGAACTTACCATGCCACCTATGTGCACAAAGAATTTATATGCACAGGGAGTTTTTGATGGTCTGTATAGTCATTCATAAAATACACATTTTAAAATACTCACTTTTAAAGGTACCCCACTATTAGAAAAATTGTGTGTCCATGCAGTAACTTTTAAATCTCTGAGTGTTTATGGAAATGTTTATTGATTCAAAATATTTAAATTAATAAATGAAGAATCAATTGCATTAGACAGAAATGTTAATAGTGGAAAATTCTCTCTATATATTCAGCATTTGTGTAACACACATTCACTGCTTCTAATTACCATGTGCCTTTTTATATACCTTGGATGTATTTTAACATAAGATTCTTCTATTGTGCACATATCTGCCAGGAGAAACAGATCCTTGCACTTCAGTCTTGAGATGTTTTGTGAACAGAACTGTGAAACTCTGTCTGGTTTAATCTCAACACTAACATTCATTGAAGGGATGATGCTATTTCAACTAGTTGTGACAAGGCAGTATTCTATAAGGCACCTACTCTTAATTCAATAATTCTTCCATTTATACATTATACAAAGTAGAGTCATTGTATGCAATAATTAAGGAGTACTATAAGTATTTATAGGAAAGTTTTACTTTATATTTTGTGTAAAATGCTTATGTAAAATGAAGCAAACTACTCTGGTATGGAAAAGTGCTTTTCTACAAAGATGAATGCCTAAAGAGAACAAACAACATTGATCAATTATGAACTTCAATGGCCAGGGAGCAAATTAAAATGATGATATAATGAATAGAAATGTTGTTCCTTTTAAATGAAGCAATATTGCTTATCTTATCTCTGCTGCTCCTTCACAGAACTTTCATTCTGCTTAGACATCTCAGAACACTGTGGAGAGCTGTGAGATACCCATGTGAGGCTGACACTTACCTGTCTCATTGGAAATCTCATTTTCTGGACAAGGAGCACAATCATAGCAACAGTTAGGCTCCCATTCCTGGGGTGATTTTCGAAATCCAGGAAGACAACTCTCACTGCACATAGAGCGAGGAAGCTGAGAATTAAATAAATGAGAGAAAATACTCAGGAAGAGACAGTGTTAATATAATAAAGATTATTTTTCAATTTAGAACAATGATACCACAAGTTTGTATGTTTATAACTGCAGATTATGGTACTGATGCATCTATTTCAATATTGTATGCCTTACAATGTTCAATGTATTAAAACAGTAATGTAATGACAACACATCTCAGGAAAGTTGCAGGAGCGTAAGAGGTAGGACAAAATAATAGGAAGCTGCATTATTAAATGCATGCCTGGAAAAGCAACTATAATGCAATAATGTTTCTTCTATGTGCTTTGTAAGGGTGAGAGGGAGCAAACTATTTTATAAAGGTGATATTTAATATCTCTTTGGACGTAAGCTTGAAAGGAATCAGAATTATAATGCAAACAAGACTTTGGGCCTTTCTATGAGAGACTATCTGCAATAATGTGCATGAAGAAAGAAGACATACTCTAAAAGTAGGTAGTATTATCAGTGACTATTGTCCTTGAAAGAATGAAAAATAAGTAGAAATGGGAAGAGCAGTATTCCCCTCTACTTCCTAACTGAAAAGCAATGATAGTAACTTTCTCAGTCTACTGCAGCCATGACTACCTGAATCTTGATGGACTATACTTGACATCTGCGATCCTATTGAGTGTGTGATCTTAGGTTGCTTCTGTTTGGCATGTGTTTTTGAATGCTTGATTAACTGTTTCATTTTCATCAGCAAGACAATTAACCAACTGAAATGTGCCCTCCATACTAAAAGGTTTTCATATGCAAATAAAGTGAAAGAGCAAGTGGCCATGCACTGATATTTCCTATTTGCTGAGTCAAATTAACCTCTTGACAGTTAGGTTCAGGACAGAGATGAAAATAATACATATACAATCAATTTATCATTTGAAATACTTTTCATTGAAGAAATGGAAGGAAAAATGAATAATCTGTTAACCAGTTTAAGACACTAAAAAAAGATTCCTCGTATTGACAGTTGTTTTTTTTTATTGAGTCATGTGTTCTGGTACCCTACTCAGAGCCACCTGATGCCTGGGTACTGCATACTTTGTATCCCATCATAGCAGGGTCCAGACCACCCAGAAACAGCCAGTGTCCTAGTCCCTTTCTCCACTCACAGAACAAGGTAAGCATGGGCCTGTTTCTGGCCCAACTTACACTTCCCTGCTTGAAGCCACCTGAGGCTTGGGGACTGTGCACTGGGGAACCCATCCCAGTGGTCCAGACAGCCCAGAGATTGTCAAGGCCCAAGTACTACTCCCTTCTCTATCCACGTGGGAAGAGGACAGCCATTAAAGTATTGGACCTGCTTGCACCCACTAGAAGGGTACTTGGTCCCGTACACAACAGGAGAGGAAGAGATACCTCCTGCACCCACTGAAAGAAGGGATGGGAAGAAGACAATATAAAAACAGATTAAACAACAGAAAAACCAGTATGACACCCTAGAGTCTAGGGAGTCTACATGAGCAAGACCCCAACATCCCACTGCAGATGAACAGAAGTGAATGACCATAAAAACCACTTCATGAAAATGACACTCTAAAAAATGATATGAGAAAATCCTTAAAGAAATGGAAGAAAAACAAACCAAAATATAAAAGAAATCAACAAATTTCTTAAAGAAAGCCAAGAAAAGACAATCAACAGATGAAGAAAACAGTTCAAGACCTGAAAACTGAAATAGAGACAATAAAGAAAACACAAATGGAGGGAATTCTGGAAATATAAAAGCTGGGTAAATGATCAGGAACTACAGATGCAAGCATAAACAATAGAATACAAGAGATGGAAGAGAGAATCTCAGGTATTGAAGATACACTATGAGAAATAGATTCATCGACCAAAGGAAATCTTAAATCTAACAAAATCCTAACACAAAATATTCAGGGAATGTGGGAAACTGTGAAAAGAGTAAACCTAAGAATAATAGATGAAGAAACCCACCTCAAAGATGCAGAAAACATATTCAACAAACACATAGAAGAAAACTTTCCCAACCTAAAGAAAGACATGCCAATGAAAGTATAACAAACTTACAAAACACCAAATAGATGGACCACACACACACAAAAAAGCCCTTGCCATATTATAATCAAAACCCCAAACATACAGAATAAAGAAAAAATATTAAGAGCAGCTAAGGAAAAAGGTCAAGTAACATATGAAGGCAAACCTATCAAAATTACACCTGATTTTTTCCATGAAAAATCTGAAAGCCAGAAGGTCCTGGATAGATATTCTACCAACAATAAGAGACCAGGGATGCCAGCCCAGACTACTATACACAAAATTTAATCACTTAGATGGAGAAAACAAGATATTCCATGACAAAATCAAATTTAAACAATACATATCCACTAATTAAGTCCTACAGAAAGTACTAAAGGAAAATTCCAATCCAAGGAAGTTAGCCACAACCTGAAAAAACATAGGCAATAGATAATCCCAATTTACCAAAAGCCAGAAGAAAAAAGGGGTGGAAATTCACAAACAACTCCACCACCACCAAAAACATAGGAATCAACAATCAATATCATTAATATATCTCATATTAATGGTCTTAACTGGCCTATAAAAAGACATAGGCTAACAGAATGGATGACAAGACAGAATACATCCTTCTGTTGCATGCAAGAAACATACCTCAACTTCAAAGACAGATGGTACCTCAAGTTAAGGGTGGGGAAAAGATTTTAAAATTGAATGGACCCAAGAATCAAGCAGGGGTAGCAATTCTAATATCTAACAAATTAGACTTTAACTAAAATCAATCAAAACAGATGAAGGAGGTAATTTCATACTCATCAAGAGAGAAGTCCATGAAGGTGAAATGTTTTTTTTCCATTTCCAGTTTTCCCTCAATTTGGGTTTCTTTATTTTTTCTTTTTCTTTTTTTAAGATTTTTTTCATTTAAACTAACAACAAGTTTGCTTCACCTGTCAATCCCAGCTCCTTCTCCCCCACCTGCCCTTCACCCACCGACCCACCCCTCCCAACCCCCACCCAATCCCCACTCCATTCCACAGGCAGGGTAAGGCACTCCAGGAAGATATCCAGAGTCTGTCACTTTGTCAGGGCAGGGCCTAGGCACTTCCCCAAGAGTCCAGGCTGAGAGATCATGCATCCAAAGTTCACTTGTATGCCAGGGATAAATACTGATCTACTAGCCAAGGCCCCCTATATTGGCCAGGCCTCCTGGATGACAACCATGTTCTAGGGGTCTGGATAAGTCCCATGCTGGCCTCCCAGCCATCAGTTAGGGGTCCAAGGTTTACAGTTTCTGTGGGCTTTACCAGCCCAGTCTTGACCCCTTTGCTCATCATTCCTCCCTCTCTGTCACTGGGTTCCAGGAATTCAGTTCAGTGTTTAACTGTGGGTATCTGCCTCTGCTTCCATCAGCCACGAGATGAAGGTTCTAGGATGGTGTATAAGGTACTCATCAGACTCATTATGGGCCTTTAAGGTAGTCTCTCCCATATTGCTTACTTTGCCAGTTGGTGTCATCCTTGTAGATCTCTGGTAATCTCACCAGTGCCAGATCTCTCCTCAAACCTACAATGGCTCCCTATATTATGGTATCTCTCATCCTGTTCTCCCCTATTCTTCCCCTGACTCATCTTTCCTGTTCCCCCATGTCTTTCTCTCCCCTCCCTTTCCCACTCTCCTTTTCCAACCTCCCTCTCCCCTCCCCTATGATCCCAATCTGCTCAGGAGATCTTGGCTCATTCCCCTTCTCTAGAGTACCATGCAATCTCTCCTAGGGTTCTTCCTGTTTTGCAGACTGTCAGTGGGATTGTAGGATGTCACTCCCCTGATCCATGCCTAAAATACATAAATGGTTGGAAATCAGTATGGAGATTCCTCAGGAAAATGGGAAGGTGAAGTCTTTTTTTTTACTCCTCTTTTTTTAAATTTTTTTATTTATAAATTTAAATTTAGATTAGAAACAAGGTTGCTTCACATGTGGGAAGGTGAAGTCTTAACTCAGAACATTGATTCCCCAAATACAAAGGCATCCACATTCATAAAAGAAACATTACTAAAATTCAAATCACATATAAAACCTCACACACTTATACTGGGAGATTTCAACACCCAATTCTCACCACTATCCAGAACCACAAGACAGAAACTTAACAAAGAAACAAAGGAACTAAAGAAGTTATGACACAATTGGGGTTATCAGACATCTATCTATAGAACATTACATCCAATCACAAAAGAATATACATGGAACAATCTCTAAAACTGAACACATACTTGGCAGCATAGCAACCCTCAACAGGTACAAAACAATTGGAATAACTCTCTGTATCTTATCAAACCACTATGCTTTAAAGTTAGAATTCAACAACAACACAAATTCAGAAACCCTACAAACTCATGAAAATTGAACAATGTGCAATTGCCCCATTAATTAAAGACTTCCTAGAATTCAATGGGAATGAAGACAGAACATATGCCAACTTATGGAACACGTTGAAAGCAGTCCTAAGAGGGAGGTTCATAGCACTGTGACCACATGAAGAAACTGGAGAATAGTCATACTAGAAAATTACCAGCACAATTGAAATATTTAGAACAAAAAGAAGCAAACTCATCTCAGAGGATTAGACACCAGGAAATAATCAAATTGAGTGCTGAAATCAATAAAGTAGAAACTAGGAAAATAATACAAAGAATTAATGTAATGAAGAGTTGTTTCTTCAAGAAAATCAACAAGATAGACAAGCCTTTACCCAAACTAACCAAACAGCAGAGAGAACATACAATTTAACAAAATCAGAAATAAAAACAGGGAAATAACAACAGACATTGAGGAAATCCAGAGAATCTTCAGGTCATACTTTGAAAACCTATACTTGTAAAAATTCAAAACTCTAAAGGAAATGGACAATTTTCCGGATAGGTATCACTTACCAAAATTAAATCCAAAACAGATAAGCAATTTAAATAGACCTACAATTCCTAAGAAAATAGAAGCAGCCATAGAAAGTCTCCCAACCAAATAGAGCCCACGGCCAGAATGCTTCAGTACAGAATTCTACCACAAATTTAAAAAAAAGAAAACACCTAATACCAATTCTCCTCAAAGTATTCCACACAATAGAAGCAGAAGGGTAATTGTCAAGCTCTTTTTATGAGCTTCAATAACCTTTGTGCCTAAGCCACACAAAGACACAAATAAGATAGAGAACTATAGATATGAACATTGATGTAAAAATACTCAATAAAATACTGGCAAATCAAATCCAAGAACATATCAGAAAAAAAATCATTCAGCATGATTAAGAAGGCTTCAATCCAAGGATGCAGGGTTGGTTCAACATACAAAAATCCAACAATTTATTCCACCATATAAACAAACTGAGAAAGAAAAACCACATAATCATCTCACTAGATGCTGAAAAAGCCATTGACAAAATCCAACGCCACTTCATAATAAAGTTCTTGGATAGATTAGGGATAACAGGAACATACCTAAACATAATAAAACCAATATACATCAAACCAACAGCCAACATCAAATCAAATGGAGAGAAACTCAACACGATTCCTCTAAACTCAGGAAAAGACAAGGCTGTCCACTCTCTCCATACCTCTTCAATATTGTGCTTGAAGTTCTAACTACAGTTAGAAGACAACAAAGGAGATCAAGGGGAATCAAATTGGAAAAGAAGAGGTCAAGCTTTCACTATTTGCAGATGATATGATAATTTACATAAGTGACTTGAAAAACTCTACCTAGGAACTCCTACACCTGATGAATACCTTAAGCAAAGTGGTAGGATACAAGCCAACTCAAAATATCAGTAGCCCTATTATATACAGATGATAAATGGGCTGAGAAAGAAATCAGAGAAATGCCATCCTTTACAATAGCCACAAATGACATAAAATACCTTGGGGTAAAGCAAACAAAACAAGTGAAAGACATGTATCGCAAGGACTTTGAGTCTTTAAAGAAAGAAATTAAAGAAGACACGAGAAAATGGAAAGATCTCCCATGCTCTTGGATAGGTAGGATCAACATAGTAAAAATGGCAGTCTTGCCAAAAGCAACCTACAGATTCAATGCAATACCCATCAAAATACCAGCACAATACTTCACACACCTTGAAAGAAAAAATCTCAACTTTATATGGAAAAACAAAAGATCCAGGATAGCCAAAACAACCGTGTACAATAAAGGAACATCCAGAGGCATCACATTCCTGACTTCAAGCTCTATTATAGAGCTATAGTTCTGAAAACAGCTTGGTATTGGCACAAAAATAGAAAACAGGTAGACCAATGGAATCTAATTTAAAACCCTGATATTGACTCATACACCTACAAACACCTCTTTTTGACAAAGAAGCTAAAAATTATGCAATGGAATAAAGAAAGCATCTTCAACAAATGGTGTTGGCATAACTGAAGGCTGGCATGTAGAAGACTACAGATAGATCCATGTCTATCCATGCACAAATCTTAAGTTCAAATGGATCAAAGACCTCAACATAAATCCAGCCACACTGAACCTGATAGAAGAGAAAGTGGGAGATACCCTTGAACAAATTGGTACAGGAGACTGCCTCCTGACCATAACGCCAGTAGCACAGACAGTGAGATCACCAATTAATAAATGGGACCTCCTGAAACTGAGAAGCTTTTGTAAGGCAAAGGACACAGTCAACACGGCAAAAGGGCAGCCCAGAAAGTGGGAAAAGATATTCACTAACCTCACATCTGACTGGGAGATTTACAAAGAACTCAAGAAGCAAGTCTCCAAAACACCAAAGGATCCAATTAAAAGTGAGATACACAACTAAATAGAGAATTCTCAATAGAGGAATCAGTCTACCACAAGATCCAGCAATCTCACTGTTTGGCATATACCTAAAAGATGCACATTCATACAACAAGGAAATCTGTTCAACCATGTTCGTAGAAGCATTATTTGTAATAGCCAGAAACTGGAAGCAACCTAGATGCCCCTCCACTGAATAATAGATGGAGAAAATGTGGTACATTTACACAATGGTGTATTACTCACCAGAAAATAAAAACAATGGAATCTTGAAATTCACAGGCAAATGTATGGAACTAGAAGAAGCCATCCTGAGTGAGGTAACCTAGTCTACAAAAATTCTATATACTCACTCACATATGAATATTAGACCTAGAGCAAAAGAGTAGCAGCCTACAATCCACACTGCCAGAGAAGCTAGGAAACAAGGAGGACCCTAAGAGAGACAGACATACATGGTCCTCCAGAGAAGAGGAAAGACACAAGATCACCTGAACTTATCGGGAGTATGGGGGAAGGGATAGGGAGTTAGAAGAAATAGAAGAGGAAAAGAGGAAGGGAGAGGAGGACAAGAGAGAGTAGCAAGATGGAGTCATGGATAGAATAGAGGAGAGCAAGAAAAGAGTTAAAATAATAGAAGGAGACATTATAGGTTTAAAGAGAAATCTAGCACTAGGGAAATGTCCAGGATCTGCATGGTTGACCCCAACTAACAATCTTAGCAATAGTCAGAGAGCTTACCTTAAAAGCCCTTCTCTTACAATGAGATTGACGACTGCCTTATATGCCATCCTAGAGTGTTTATCCAGTAGCTGATGGAAGCAGAAGCAGACACCCATAGCTAAACACTGAGCTGAACTGTGGAATCCAGTTGCAGAAAAGGAGGAGTGACAGGCAAAGTGGTCAAGACCAGGCTGGAGAAACCCACAGAAACAGATGACCTCAACAAGGGGTTGCTCATGAACCCCAGACTGATAGCTGGAAAAACAGCATAGGACTGTTACAGACCCCCTGAACGAGGATGCCAGTTTGGAGGATTGGTTAATCTATGGGGCCTCTGGTATTTATTCCTAGTACACAGGGATCCCAATCCACATAGAGGGATACTCTCCTAGCCTGGACACAAAGGAGAGGTTCTAGGCCCTGCTCCAAATGATGTGACAGACTTTAAATATCCCCCATGGAAGGCCTTACTCTCCCTGGGGAGTAGAAAGGGGATGGGATAGGGGAGTCACTGTAGGGGCAGAGTAGGAGGGGAGGGAGAAGGAACTGGGATTGACATGTAAAAGAATTTTGTTTCTAATTTAAATAAAAAACTAAAACAAAAAATGAACCAGAAATCATTAAATTAGGAATCAAATGTTTATTTACATAGTGATCAATGCAATGATATAAGATTAAACAAACCTCTGAAAATCCTGTGGCCCACTGTATCATATGATCAGATAAAATCAGTTGGTGCCCATGTGGAGCTTTTGAAGAAAATGTTCCAACTTTCATATTTTGTCTGAGACCGTGTGGCCAATTCCAGAAGTTGAGAATATCATACTCTTCATCTAATTTCATTTGGTAATCCAATGCAACATGGTGTCCAGCACCATTTTTGAACTGGATTTTATTGAGAAAGGGATGAAGCTGAAAGGAATGTAGAATCTTATGATAAATTTTGTCCCAAACATCCAACAGAACCAAATAAAACAGCATCTCACAATGACTTTATTTCCTGATGTGAAATGCAAATGACATGTTATTAATGATTTGAATGATGAAAGCTCCCCCAAAAGCATGTTACCTGGAGAAGTAACTCAAGTTGTAACTCAAAGTACATATTGACACGCACACATTTGATCCTATTGCTACCACTCATTCTCCTTGGACATGTGTCTGCAATAATATTTAGACAAGAAATAACACGTGTCCTTTTTTGATGAAGTCATCCACAAAGAACAATAGTACACTGAGTGGTTTTACAAAGACTTTGTAGTCACAGTGCTAATGTTAAAATACACAGGAAGAGAAATTACCTCCCAGGGATGGATATTCCTCTCCCTGTTTCCATGAGGTTGCATTTGTACTTGTTTCACAGTCATCTCATGGAGAGTATGAGCCACAGCATACACGGAATTATATATATTGTAACTTGCTTCAGTCATGTCCATTTCCCATGTATTTGAAGGAATCAATTCCAATGAAGCATTCGGTAGACAGTTACCAGATACTTTACAATAAGGTAGAGATAAAGAGCAATTGAACCAACCATTCCATATAATATTAAGATAATAGTCATCTGGATATTTAGAAGGGGTATATGCCTGAATAAAAGTTTTAAAGTCAGAAATCTCATCATGGTGATGTGTAAAAAGGAGAGTCCCATGAAATGGATCAAAAATAAAAGGCTCAGAAGTGATACTCATATCAAACTTTGAATTCATGACCCAGACTTTCCATGTTTTTACAATATGCAATCCACATAGCATTAAGCAATGTAAAGATTCCCTGTGTTCATAAATGATAACAACATTTGCAGATGACTTCTTAATCACCATGACAGTCTCTAGGGATGAATAGCCAAAACAAAACAAGTTCTCTTGCACCATTTTTACAAATGCTAAGCACACTCTATTCCTGTACATCTCTCCACTCATGTCTGATAGAATCTTATTTCCTTTATAGTTATCTATGAGGACCAGCCCCACCCAGGTCCAGCTGAAATGAAGCATCAAAGAGATAATGCCAAGTGACAGAGATGAGTCCTTTGGAGCTGCTTGGTAGGCATAAGGGAACTGGCCTCTGTCATTCAGGATACTGTCAAAATGTCCAAAACTAAGCTGAAGGGAATCAAATCAGGAACAAGAATGAAAATATTGATATAGGAAGCAAACTTAAACATGAGACACCACTTAGGATTGTTCAAGTTGTTTTAAAATCCTATCTCATTCCTGAAGACTTTTACTGAGATTTCCAAGACACAGAGTTTTCTGAACACCTACTGGTCTTTGTCGCAAGCAAAGTATATGAGGTTACATAAACAAATGCCTGATTTCTCTTTAATAAACAAGAGATAGGTCTCTCTCCTTTACATGATAAAACACTAAAAACGTATGCATTACAATACTCTTTGCTTGCTCACTCACAGTCACATCCCTCACCTGTGGATATTTGTAGAGATTCAGAAGTCTTCCACCACTTGTAGAAATTAGCCATGATGCTGTAAGTAGAGCAACAGCCTTTCTCTCCCTTCTATATGTATAGTTGGGAGTGATGATTCCCATTCCTGTGAGCCAAAGGAACACTTCCTTGATAAATTCCCATTCACTTCTTTCGATATTGTAGAGATCAAATCCCAGAGATGTGTTGGGTAAAAGATGAGGGTTCCTGTTGATCTCCTCAGTGGCAAATATGAAAGCCAAAGAACACTGGTAGTTCTTCAATTTGAACCTGCAGAAATTTTTCATCAATATTTCTGGAGAAGACCCATACCATACTGCTTACCAGTGTGATGCAATGGCTTTTAGAATTTCAATGTTGTACTTCTACAAACAAATAAGTTTATATCATCCCTGTAATGGTTATAACGTATATTTAGTATGTGATGATTTCATCCCCTAAAAGCCTTAGCTGGATCTACAAGGCATTGTGAGAAAACCTGAGTTGAACTGATAGCACTGTTTATATCTTCTGATAAGAAGATCCACATAGCCAAACCACTAGCATTTACAATGTGTGGAAATAATCAGCATATTGAATCTCCCATTTGTAAAACCAATTCTTGTTCTCCATCATGATCTCTAAATTTAAAAATTATTATTCCATGGCCAAGAGATTTTTCTCACAATGAACATTGCCCTTTCTTTCCACTAGCAGTGGGTGGAAACAGATACAGAGACCATCAGTCAAACAGTAGGCTGATCTCAGAGAACTTGGTAAGAGAACTTGGTAAAAGAGAAGGAGGAGGGATTGTGGGAGCCAGAGATGTTGAGAACACTAAGACACATGACAAACGGATCAGTTGACACACAGAATCAATTAGGCACTAGTCATAGGGGCTCACAGAGACTAAAGGGGCAACCATGGAGCCTGTATGGGTTTATGCTAGGCCCTCCACATACATGCTGTAGTTGTTATCTTGGGGTGTTATTGGACTCCTAACAGTGGGAGTAGGGTATCTCTGACTCTACTGCCAGGTCCTGAGATATTTTTCCTTCTATTGAGTTGCTTCATCCAGCCTTGATAGGAGGGGTTAATCCTAAACTTACTGAATCTCGTTACACTGTGATATGAACCCTGGGAAGTGTTCTTTTTTCTTAAAGGAAAAACAGGAGCAATAGATCTGGGAGGGGAAAGGGAGGCCTGGTAGATGTGGAGGCAAGTAAAGCTATACTTGTAATATATTGTATGAGAGAAGAATAAAGTCATTTTAAGAAAATGATTAATATAAATCTGAGACTTTATATCTAATATATGCATATAAGAATATGTAGAGAGAGAGACATAAATCAAATTCAGTATTTTAAGGATATTTTTAACCACTAATGCCTCACTAAAAACAAATAAATGAATGTTTGAGTGTGTAAAGATCCTACACAGAGCTTCTGACTTATCATTTAAGCTAAACAGACGTCATCTTTATAGCTTCAAATCCAATAGATTGAGCAACTACGATAGGATTAGTAAATGAAATTATATCTTTAAAAAGTCAGGGAACTTAGATTGACTTGTAAACAAGCTTGTTTCTAATTTAAATAAAAAATAAAATAAAAAACTAGCCAAAAATAATAAAAAATAAATTAAAAAACAGAATGTGACCAGTCAGTAGTTTTAAATGTAGGAAGGGATATCTATATATGCAAAATTGTTTTCATACATAATAAGTAAACAAGTCTCAATGTCACCAATTCTGGGTCACAAAACTCTTAACAGCACACTTTTCCAAGTGTTTATAAGTTAAATAATTTCATTTGTTCCATAGTGTGAACAGGTATGAATTTTAAATGTTCTTTCATTGAGAGATTGAAAGGATGAGAAACTCTTCAATGCATATTCTCACAATAGATTGTAAGTTTACAATAAATTGTACATTTACAATGAATTGTAAACTTATGTCTCATAAGCTCATTATGTCTTATGGTATTGACAAATATAAAATGGTGGAATGATGTAATGCTTGAAATCAATTTTGAAATGAAATATTTACATAAAATATTAACACATATGGATGTTTCCATGATCAGGATAAAAATAAGTTAGAAAGCATTTGCAAGGTCCAACCTTATAAGTGGGTTTAGATAGCTAGATTTTAAGACTTAAAGGTAATATATATGGAGCTACAGTATGTGGAATAATATTAACAATTATGAAAAACTGGTTATACTGTAAAATTAATTCATCACTGTGGAAAGTCCACAATAAGGGAGTCAAAACACTGAAAATTTCCTTAGTGCTTGAAAGGGAAGGGACAACAAGGATAACCAAGCCTGCTGACTATACTCACCAAGAGATGCAATAGCAAATGAGACTTGAAGAATCAGAGATACTTTACAAGCCAAATAGAATACTTTGACATGAATTTTAAAAGGCCTAGATATAACGGAAACAGTACATACTCTGTACCAAATATCTAGTCTTAAACATGCATCCAGAAAATGATGGGAACCTTTAAAATATTCAGTGTGTCTCATTAGCAAATTACATAATGGTAGTCCTCAAAATTTATGAATAACCATCAGCCCTTCCAGGCCTCAAACCCCGGTGAGCCCAGCGTCAGGTGAGATTGGGTCTCTGGCGGGGACACCACCGATCCCCTGCCCAACACCCATCCCCTCGATCTTCCAGGGCTGCTCCTGGCATCCAGAAGACCCACGCTCACAGGAAAGACACCAGCCCTTCCAGGTTCCAAACCCCAGCCAGCCCAGCTTCAGGTGAGATTGGATCTACTGCGGGGATAACACCAATCCCCTGCCCAACACCCATCCCCTCGATCTTCCCGGACCGCGCCTGGCATCCAGAAGACCCGCCCACACAGGAAAAACATCAGCCCTTCCAGGCCCCAAACTCCAAGCCCAGCTTCAGGAAAGACATCAGCCCTACCAGGACCCAACCTCCGGATACCCCAGCTTCAGCTTAAGCTTCAGTGTCAGCATCCCCAGCTTCAGCTTCAGGAAGGAAGGAAGGAGACCAGTGGAGACGGAAAGACCCCACCAGCACCCACTGGAAGAAGAGATGGGAAGAAGACAGAATAAGAGCTCACTCAGCAATAGAAAGACCAACATGACTCCACCAGAATCTAGGGAACCAACACCAGCATGACCCGAAAAGCACGACATAGACGAAGCAGAGGAGACAGACCTTAAAAATTATTTCATGAAGATGATAGAGACCCACAAAGAAGAAACAAGGAAATCCCTTAAAGAAATAGAAGAAAAAACAAAAAAAATCCATGAAATGGAAAAAATTCAAGAAATAAACAAATCTCTCAAAGTAAGAGAGGTAGGAATTCGTAGCTATGTGTGATTATGAATGTTACATTCCTTTCAAGTACATTGAAACTTAACACTTTGTAACTCAAAGTTCTATTTCATAATAAACAAACCTTGAGTAAAGGAGATATGCTACATTTAAAAAAAAAGAGCGCCAAGAAAAACAACCAAAAAAATGAAGGAAACAACTCAAACATTTGAAGGATTGAAAGCTGAAATAGAAACGATAAAGAAAACACAGAACGAGGGGATGCTGGAAATAGAAAAGCTGGGTAAACAATCAAGAACTACAGATGCAAGTATCACCAATAGAATATAAGAGATAGAAGAGAGAATCTCAGGTGTTGAAGACTCATTAGAGGATATAGAATTGTCAACCAAAGAAAATCTCAAAACCAACAAATCCTTAACACAAAATATCCGGGAAATATGGGACACCGTGAAGAAGCCAAACCTGAGAATAATAGATATAGAAGAAGGCGAGGAAATACAACTCAAAGTTACAGAAAACATATTCAACAAAATCATAGAAGAAAACTTCCCTAACCTAAAGAAAGATATGCCTATGAAAATACAAGAATCTTACAGAACACCAAATAGGCTGGACCAGAAATGAAGCCACCTCGCCATATAATAATCAAAACATCAAACCTACAGAATAAAGAGAAAATATTAAGAGCAGCTAAAGAAAAAGGCAAAGTAACATACAAAGGCAGACCTATCCGAATTACACCAGACTTCTCAATGGAAATGAAGAAAGCCAGAAGATCCTGGATAGATGTCCTACAAACGCTAAGGGAACAAGGATGCCAGCCCAGACTACTATATCCAGCAAAACTTTCAATTACCATAGATGGAGAAAACAAATTATTCCATGACAAAGCCAGATTTAAACAATACGCATCCATGAATCCAGCTCTACAGAAAGTGCTAGAAGGAAAACCTAGATCCAAGGAAGATAACTACACTCACAAAGACAGAGGCAATATATAATCCCACTTTACAAAACACCAAAAGAAAAAGGGAGGAGAAACTACACAAAATAACTTCACTAACAATAAATCAACCACAAACAAGAATCATTAATCAATGGTCATTGATATCCCTCAATGTCAATGGCCTCAACTTGCCTATAAAAAGACACAGACTAGCAGAATGGATACCAAGAAAGAACCCTTCCTTCTGCTGCATATAAGAAACACATCTCAACATCATATACAGACGTTATCTCAGAGTAAAGGGTTGGGAAAAGATCTTCCAATCAAACGGTCCCAAGAAACAAACGGGTATAGCAATCCTAATATCTAACAAACTAGACTTCAAATTGAAATCAATAAAAAGAGATGAAGAAGGACACTTCATATTCATCAAAGGAAAAGTACATCAAAATGAAGTCTCAATTTTAAACATCTATGCCCCAAATACGAAGGCACCTACATTCGTGAAAGAAACATTACTAAAGCTCAAAATGCACATAAAATCTTACACACTAATAGTAGGAAACTTCAACACTACGCTCTCACTGCTAGACAGGACCTCCAGACAGAAACTTAACAAAGAAACAAAAGAACTAATAGAAGTTATGACACAACTGGGTTTAGCAGACATCTATAGAACATTCCAACCAAAAACAAAGGGATATACCTTCTTCTCGGCGACACATGGAACCTTCTCTAAAATTGACCACATAATAGGAAACATAGCAAATTTTCACACATACAAAAAAAATTGGAATACCCCCTGTATCTTATCAGACCACCATGCATTAAAATTAGAATTCAACAACAAGACAAATCGCAGAAACCCAACAAACACATGGAAATTGAACAATGCACAATTGCACCATTCCTGGGTAAAGGAAGAAATAAAAAAAGAAATCAAAGATTTCCTGGAATTCAATGAGAATGAAGACACAACATACACAAACTTATGAGACACATTGGAAGCAGTACTGAGAGAAAAGTTTATAGCACTATGTG